GCGGTGGGTCGGGGCGGGGGGGGGGGGGTGCGGGGGGGGGGGGGGGGTGCCCTGCTGCTCTCACCCCATGTTTCAAACAGGGCTCCCCAGGGAAGGATATGAATAATAATGAGAACAAGTGAAAATCGAACAAACACCACGCTCACATCTCCGCCGCAGTTGTCTGGCTCTTATTTCTTCCTGAAATCTTGGGAACATTTTGATTCGCTGACAGTTGATTTTAATCCAGCAGACAGGCTCCGAGGGACGAACACCTGTGATCAGCACGGAGCCAGAGAACGTGCCGGAAAACACGCTTGCACACACACATATACAGTACACATACATGGTGTGGCAAAGTCATGATATATTTATATGGGACTACTCCAATGTCAACTGCTGAAATACTACCTTTGTTAACTAAGTGTTTAGTCTAGAATTAACCATCTCTGTCCATGAATTCTTTTCTTTTCCTGGGATTCCATGTCATTTCATTAAGAAAGAATTAATATCTGTTTGACTGTTAAACACATTTAAATTAATCAGTGGAAATAAATTGTGTTTACTGCTGTCCTCACAGACAACATATACATATATTTTGGTAATGTATTTAATAGGGTTTAGGAACATGTCCACTGGAGGCAGCAGAATGCAGGAAACCAATCCTAAACGTCCAAAGTCCAATCAGAAGCAGAAGAGTAAATGAACCATAAACCAAGATCAAAAGCAGAAAAAAAACTGCAGAGATTGACAAGAAAGAAGTAGTCAGGAGTACTCAGGCTGAACACTCAGAAGTACACAGACTAAACAGGCAGACAAGAACAGAGAGGACAGGTACAGGCGTTCAGACAGAGGAGGAGCTAATGAGACACAGGTGGAGCAGATTAGGTCGTCATTACAGAGGGAAGCGGAGGAACAGGTGGACAATCATGGGGTGTGTGTGAGTGTGAGTGTGAGTGGACACAGGAGACAGGCAGTGGAGCGCCAAGAAGACAAACTCAAGGTGAGACGAAAAACCACATGAAATAACCACAGGACATGGAACAGGTCACAGGGTGAAGTTTTTCAAATGGACATGTCATTGACTTTATGAGGTTAACGGGGGGTTAACATGTTTTTTATTTTACATTTTTTCCAAACTTTCCTTAGGAAAATCTCTGAAGTGGTTTTAGACGTTGGTTGTAGCACAGATTGGATGACACTAAGGTACAAACTGTAAAGGCCAGTGAAGCTCAGACAATTTCCCAGCATCCCTTTTTCCTTAACAGATAGTGTTTAATGGACCTGAGATGGTGGTACTTAAGGATGAACTCTGTCTCCAACGTCGTCTTCATAAGTTCTCCTAAAGACTAAAGACGATTAATGAACAAATCCCTTTTGTGTCATGTTATGTTCTGCAACAATCAAAATCATGGCTGATATCACTGTGATATCACAGCAAAACATATCCTCTGCACCAGTTCCATGTTTCCGGAGAGATGAGGTTGATTTCCCGTGCGCTCCCTCGGATATAACATTCACGTATTCCATATATGTTTCCACCTTCCTGTTCATATTTCAAGCACAAATTCCTGTCAACCTCCTCGGTACTTGTTTCCAAAGTCGTAGAGAGTGAGCGAGCTGTGCAGTGCACACACACTCACGACAGAAGAGAGAGCCAGGACACGCATGTCAGACTAAGAGACGGCTGTCATCCCACTCTCTTATCCTCCATCCCAGACATGCTAATCCCTGTTATAGCAGGCAGGCGCGGAGAAGATAAATTTGTGGTCAGTAAGAGCAGGTGTGTGCATGCCGTCAGGCTGTGCCGGGGCAAGTGCAACTGGAGAAGGTTTGGAGATGGAGCAGCTGTTGTTTGGAGGCTTCGGGGGGGCAGAAGGAAAGATATGTGTTGGATGATATTTTCTGCATGATGAAGGAGGGATGGTGATGGAAAGTTGACCCACGTCTGCCCCCTGTGGATGATTGATGGACTTGGATGGATGTAGAAAGGTCACTAAGGTCAAAAGTGTTTTTGATCAAGAAAACTTGAGTAGCGCTCTGGAAACGAAAAAGAAACCAAGTCCCTAATTACAACCAGAGACACTTTTGTTTAGTCTCCACTGAAAGCCAGAAAGGAAAAACTTTCACAGCCTTCAAAGGCAGGGCTTTGACCTAAACAACGTGCAGGATACACACTGACACTAACTTCAAAGGCAGGGCTTTGACCTAAACAATGTGCAGGATACACACTGACCCTGACAGATAGACGAGAAATGTTTCTCACAAAATGTTACTGGGAATTTTAGGAAAAACCTCTTTACTGACACCACACTTGACCAACTGGTACTGCAGCCAAAACAACAACAACAAAAAGAAAATACCTGCAGACGGCAATGTTGGTGCACTTTAAGTATATTCCAAGTGGCTGATTAGAAATGACTGGCTGATTACAGTATCTGGTTTGATTAAAATTGTCTTCTTTTTTTTAATTATAAAAAATGTCCTGATTTCACTGCCTTGGATTAAGGTAATGAAATGCTTTAAGGCTAATGAGACGCATCTGTGTCTATAAATGGAAGCTGCATAATCAGAACAACTGTAATGAAATGAAATGGTGAAGATATTACCGTGGGATTTAAGTCAGTATATTCCCTATCTCACCACAGCATTCTGTCTTCAGTCTGAGCAGATCAGACTGAAGAATTAATAGTGTACGTCCACCAACCAACACAAACCTCAGCCAGCTTCTACAGATATCCCCCAACAAGGTGACCCCCGCGTCGGCTCCCCCCAACCTTCTTCCCCAGATAAGGCCTAGTGATCCCCAGGAGCCTATCACTAAAATCTGTCATGGTGTTCCACCTCTTTTTCTTCACATGTAATTACATTGCATTGAGTGTGGGGGCGGTGGAGGGCTGGGCTTCGTCGGCAGAGGAGATTCTTTTCACACCAGATGAATGTGTCTACCTGTAGAGAGAGTGGTCCGACTGCGTTTTAGAGAACAGACTGGTTGCAGTCGGGGGGGCGGAGGGGGGGGTTCCTGCGTGAGCAGCCGCTTCAAATAGAGCCCCCGCCTGCTCCGTGCCTGGCCCCGCTCCACCTCAGAGCTGCTTCCAACCAGGCCTAGAGAGCGACAGAAGAGCTTCACACTGGCAAATTCAGTGGCTCACACCAGATGGAGTCTTTGTTCTTCCTCTCCGACACACACACACACGCCATGTACACGCCTGCGTGCAACCAGCACACATGCAGCGGCACACTCGCACCAGTGGGGGCACACCTCCTCGGCAAATCCAGGATCAGGATGACAGGGGGTGGTGTGATTCCTCCTGTCCTTTGTCATGTTCACGTTAGACATATGCAAATGGACATTGTTCACAAAGAATGACACAAATCCACCGTGTCTAAGTCCACAGAGAGGACTGGTGATGGCTATTTAGTTAACATGATTTATGGTGCTGTTTGACCCACTTAGCACATGTGGCTGTGAAATGCTGCTCATTTCAGAGAGTTTGAGAATAGCTTGTGTTTCCCAGAGGACGGGCAGAGGTGAATGACAACTATTTTTGGAATTTTTAAATATTTTTTGAGTCAGTTTTTGGCTAAATTAATCCATAAATAATGTGCAAACTGAAGTTTATTACTGTTTTACTATGTTTGCTGGGATTCTGACCATCATTCTAGATTTATTTTACACTTGTAGTTACATTGTATTATTTTGCATACAAAAAGAAAGATAGAGTTGCCTTCTGTGATAACTCCAACCACACATATTGGTAACTTGATTCCGTAGTGTATCACACTTGCTTACACATCTGCCTTACACACAGAAGGTGCTGGGTTTGAGCCCCAAACGAACCACATACTCAGGGTCGCCTGTTGCAGCAGGTCTGAGTGGTTCCATAGTGAAGTGGTTATCACGCCTGCCTTACACATCCACTTAGTCCAACTACAGTATGTTGCTAGCGCTTCCCTTGTGGCAGCCTGTGTGAGTTGCAAACACTCACACTGTGAATTTCCCGATAAGGGACTTAATTTATTTGTTGTTATTTTTTGGTCATGGACTCTTGTCCATAGTGTGGTCTCCAGTTCAGCTGTGGACACATCCAAAGACCAAACTGAGACCTGTCTTACTGCTGACTTATTTTAAAATCGTTCTTCAACATTCCATCTACTGTCAGTGGATACACTGAATCGCCCACAGCATTACACGCCCTCCTGGGTTTGGAGACATTTTAGTGTGGGGACATTGTCCTCTCTTTTATGTCTTTTCCCTTTCTTCTCCAAAGATGGCCAACAGGACTGTGGTTAAGGACCTTTGGTTTGTCTCACCTGACCAAATTATACTCTTCACAGGGTTTCTTCTCCAAGTTTTTCTTGGCAAAACTCAGTCTGACTTTGACTTGTCTCTCAGCAGAGGTTTGTTTCTTGATCTGAAACCTCAGAGTTTTTCTACTGCACCTCTGTTGACCTTACATTCAGACTGACCTCAGTCAACCACAACTCAATCAGCATTTATTTGAAAATCTTTATACACAGCTTGGACATGTTTCTTTTCCTTTATAATCTTTACTTCTATATCATGTCTTCTACCTAATATAGAAAAATATTTCGGTACCATGTTAATCTGAAGGTCAGAGGTCAAGAGCATTTGCTCTGTTTGTTTGTTTTTTCATTATCTATTGCAAAAGCTCGGTAAACGTTTTAATGGCTATTTTCAGGTTTAATTAAGTTTATGTGTTAAATCAACGACAGAAATCAAATGTTTTTTAACTGATTTATTTTTTATTCAGTGGAAGTGATATAAATGCATGTTTTATTTTTTACTTCTGTGACATTTTTGACTTTTTTAAGATCTAATGTCTCATCTATTTGTCACCATTCTGTCATCATGAAGTCTTTGGGATGACAGATCAAAACTGACATTATACTTTACAATTTTTAAAAAACAGAAAAACTCATAGTTTAAAATCTGTTGTGACCTTTAATTAATGTGAGAAAATGTGTGAAAACCATTCAATCAGGAGGATTAAGAAAAAAAACTATCAGGAAGCGGATTAATCACGAAATAAATGATACGTCTTTTTAATTTTCTCATGATTTGCATATTATAAGGTCATAGATATCCAAGGCTGGAGCAGGAACCTTTAACAGGATCTGCTGAGCTGGTATATTGAGTATGCTGTCTTCTTTAATGAAAAATGGAGGTAGGCAGTAGAGACTCATCTTAGAGCTGAGGTGAGATGTCACTCTGTCAGTTTGGGTCTGGTCTGTGCCATGATAAAAGCAGAACTCTGTGCTGTGAGCAGCTCCATCTATCAGTTCAGTTTAAAAGTCACCTTGAACACGTCAACTCAAAACTCTAACTTCATAAGTTATCGTTTTTTTTAAAAAGTCTCTCTATGCATCAAGTTGTGTGACTGGTCTGACGTGATTTTACTGTAAAATTTCATCAGGATAAAAATAAAGTGAAAAAATGGTTCATTAATTTTACATAAAATTTGGGCAGGATGTCGGAGAGAATTTGACAAAGATGTGTCATGTATTACAATAGGAAGCAGCTCTTTCAAGTACCTGACCTCATCCAATTCTCCGCCATGCAGATACACTGCATTATTCATCACTGTCTGGCCCAGATCTGCATTTGAATTGGGATAAAAGAGTCACAATCGCTTTTCCATTAGGGTATTACACGGCTGCAGCAGGTTAAGTCAGAGGACCGTGGTTTGGTTGTTTTTTTTTTTATTGGTTTTTTGTTTTTTTTTTTCACTTTTGGGTTCTTAGATTCTAATGAAACCTAGGAGGACATTTCTGAGGAGACAAAAAAAGACCAAATTCCATTTGTCTGACCTTCGAGACATTTTCAATCAAGTGGATCAACACAGAGACAGAAGTTCATAGACATTTAATAAAAGATAATCGATTGCATAGTCTCGTAAAAAAAAAAATGGAATGGGATTTCTATTTTTGTTATTTTTGTTGTTCTTTGTACAAGGCACTTAATCAACCCAGGCACAAATGTCATTTCCCGTCTAACAACATGAAATCATTCACTTCTATTATTCACTAGTGGTTTGTCGACACGAGTGGTTTCTAAATGTGCTGAGGAAAATATAAGATTGACTCTGTCACAGAGGAGCTAAGAACCCGACTGTGGACAAACCGAGTTACATGTTACATGACCAAACTTCACATTTGTAAAGAAAAAGAATACAATTTAAAAATTACACTCGTGTATAATTTTCGCTTTCCCTGCGGCACCACGTTCAGGAGAAGCTTGACACTCTCGCCCACTAGTGGTAAAAGTCTAACGATGCCATTCATCTGACATTCTTGTCTGAGGGTGTGTAATGACCATCCCGGCCTCGCGAGGTCGCAATTTCGTCCAAAAAAGAGCGCTAAAGCCATCATTTTTGCCATAGTTGCTTGTTCAGTGCATAACTAATACAAAATATTTTTTATAATGTAAGTACCATTGGGGAGTTTATGCATAAATACTTTATAGTTTACAACTGTTTATAGTATTAAGAGGCTTGAAGAAAAGAGTTTGTCCATAACATACCAGGAAGAAAAAAATCATTTGTTTTCAATCCATGCGGTAAAATATTAAGTAACCACACAGTCAGAACGATCAGTATTAAATAACTTATACTGACAGCTGTTAACATGCGGGACCTGTTTACATCCATCTGTTTCCCTGACGGAAGAGTTTCATATATTTTCAGTTATGTACTTGTGCTTTTATTTTGGAAGGAAACTCCAATTGAAACACAAGCATTTCCCGTCTTTATTTTCTCAGCCAAATTGTCTTCTTGTGCTACAGTTATGCGGCTGTTGTGCTTCCTCCTTTTGTCAGCATGGACATAAAACGAATCACTTCCTGTACACAGTACATAAACGTAGCCGTGCCGCAGCTTCGTCTGTGGCACACAGACGACTGTGTGTGAAGCTAACGGTCTCGTCCAACACTTGATTTTTCAAGTAATGGTCAATGAACATATGGACAAACACCCTGTTGGATTTAGAAAAATCCAGTGTTTTATCTTTATGTCCAACATTGTATTTCACAAAAACTATCCAAAAACTTTAATATCCTTGTAACAGAAAAGGTCTTCACTAGTGTAAATTAGAGAGATCGTTGTGTGTATTTGTAAAAATATTTGTTGATGGTATATTTTATATTAAATTAATGTTGTTAGAAATAGCCAATCAAAACAACTGATACTTTCAGTCTGTCTAGAACAGTTCCATCAGTGACTGTGGTTTCAACATGTGGAACTAATAGTGGTTTCATTGATTTGGAATATGACTGGATCAAAGATCTTGATATTCACATAAATGCTACAGCGGTTGTAGTGCATAAAGAAAAAAGTGTCTGATGTCAGGGCTGTGTCAGTTCTGGTTCTCTACCACTGAAAGGCCGTTAAGTGCTTCTGCTCAGAACTTGCTGAGCTGCGGCAGCGCCACAGCTTTGACCAACACTGCAGAGAGCAGGTCTGTAGGCCCAGAGTGGTGGGCTACAGCCGTGGCAGAAGGACCCCCGTGCTTGTGTTCAGAGCTCAGAGGTGTGGGAATCTTTCCTCTCTGTAGCGTGGACTTGCAGGCCCCACTGCCAGCGACTCCACCCAAACTGGACTTGCTGTTCTCTGCCGTGGGTATGACGGTGCCCAGGTTGAGGGTGCCCACTACAGGGGCGCCGGTGGAATCTAAGCTGTTCTGGCAGCAGCAAAGCAGCCGGAAGAAGGCAGCCCTCATCTCCCTGCTGGACAGGGTGTATATGAGAGGGTTGAGAGCAGAGTTGAGAACAGCTAAGGCGATGAACCAGTCCACCTGGTAGAGCACAGGGCAATTGTCTGGACTGCAGCCCACATCCAGCAACAGCAGGAGGAACAGTGGAGCCCAACATACGACAAACACTCCAAGAACGATGACCACTGTCCTCAGCAGAGCCAGTGAGCGCTCCGAAGGTCGACTGCTGACCCTGCGACCACTGGAGGTCACCAGGCGATAGATCCTGATGTAAAGGATTATGATGGCCACCAACAGGGCGCTGAAGACACTGATGCAGAAAGCCACGTAACTCTTAGCGTAGAGCGGTAGCACTGTGGAGCAGGAGGTCATATTATTCAGGCAGTTCCACCCCAGGCTGGGCAAGGCACTGAGCAGCACTGACACAAGCCAGCAGGCCGCCAGCAAACCCAACAGTCTCCCTCGACCTGCCGCCTCACATGGGCGCAGACGCACCATAGTCATGTGTCGCTCAATTCCAATGGCCAAGAGGCTGAACGTGGAGGCGCTGAGGGCCACGAACATACTCCCCTCTCTGGCCAGCCACTGTATGGGCGTCAGAAAGTAGGTGTTACGTCCTGAGGTAAAAATATTGACGACGTAGGCCACACCGGCAAGGAGGTCCGAGAGCGCTAGGTTCCCTATGAGGATATACATTCGACTGTGGAAGCGCTTGTTTCTCCAGAGAGCGAGTAAAACTGTGACGTTCTCCAGTACAATCAGCACACAGATGAACAGCAGCACCGCCATCTTACACGTCCCGCTGCTGCGAGGTCGATCCCACTTCCCTGAGTGGTTGTAGTGTTTGACGATGACTATATTCATTCCTTCCTCCAGTATGTTTGCCATACTTCCGGCCCTTCCTGACCTTCCCTGGTCACACAGCAGAGGGAGCTACAGCACTGGACACAGTGAAGGGAGGTCAGGCTGCTCAGCCACGCAGTATTGGTGGAACCTCTTCACAGACTCTTCTGGGACCTAAGAAAAACACGAAAATATATTAGAAAAACATTCAACCACAAAAAACAAACAAAAAAACAAAAAAAAAACTTTTAGAGTTTTTGAGGGGTTTTTTTTGAGTTAAGGTGTCTTACGATTGTTTTAATATGGCCATTTCAGCTGTAAAGAATAATCGTTAAAAGAAAATCGAGTCGTGTCTCCTAAACACAAACATTGCCTTTTTTTTTATTGCCTTTTTGTCTTTACCGAACTATCAAGTTGACTGTCAGTAGAACAACGAACCCACAGCACAGTGGAATTAGGAGTCATATACATAAACATATTATAAAACTCCTTAAAGTTACTTATTGTCCTGCTAATAGTTATAAATACTGTAGTCGGTACTTTTATCAATCTTATTATTGTGGGTGAACAAAAGCCTATTTAAATTTATTTAACTACAATAAAACAAAAGAAATAGTTATGATGAAGTTATTGACCAGCAAATTTGAGACGAACTCCCTTTTCTCCACATCACACATAATAAGGTTTTATATATTGTATTTGTATCAGTAAAAAGTATCATTTCCAGACAAATGTCTGAGAATTACCGAAAAAGTACCAAATAAGTTAATAATTATATAATTGCTGCCGATTAAATAGACGCAGAACTCGTTTGAAACTAATTAATTTCAGGGGTTCTGAGTTGGTGAGACGCGACAGACACATTAAAATAATGTTTTAAAGTAAATTAACAATCCGACCAAAGTAAAACAAATGTAAAACTGAAGTTCGACTCTAATCAGTACACGTAACAACACCTTAAGTTATTTACCCTTGGACGTTTTGGATTCCATCTCGGCGATGTCACGCTGCTGGAATACAAAAAAAGTTTCCACAGATCGATAAAAAATATTGGAGATTTTCTTTGAGATCAGTGATGTGTTCTTGTCCTCAGACCTCCTCTCCTCTCCTCTTTGCTCCGTGGCTCTCTTTACCCAGTGTTCACTCCTCCCCCCTCATGATGACGGTGCTGATGAGGAGGATGATGGGGCGGGACCTTTCCTGACCTTTTCATCAAGGATATACCGAACACAGCCACGTGTGATGACGATACGATATTTCAGTAGTGGCCGCTTCGATTTGCTTTCAGTCAACGCTTCATTTTTTTGTACTCAACACTCCTGTAGAAAAGGTGTATCTTTGTTACGCTTGACGGCCCTGGCATTGTAGTGTGTGAGGAAACTTTGCATTAACTGACATACTCAAATGAACCAAACCACAAATGTATAACTGTATTTTCTGTTTGATGGGGGTGACCATGGTTTGACTAATGTGTGCTGTGTTGGCCAGTAGCTAACACACGTTGGGTTCTAGCTCCCGATACCTTTTCCATGAACAAATGGACTTTGTCACTAGCCTGCACATTTAGTGTTTTATGGCACTTTAGCCTGCTACTACAGCCTGCAATGGAGGTAGCCATGTCCATATATGATTTACACTTCAACCAAAGTGGCAAAGTTGTATCTATTTTGTGTCTAAAATGGTGGGAAATAATAAATGTTTTTCACTCTCATTAAAAAGAAAATTGTTTTGTCTATTTATAGGTTTATTTTCTCAGAACTCCACACAGAGAACTCATTGTTGTCTGTCTCTGTTTCTCTACGCGGCCTATTACAGGAACTACAAACCATATTATTAGCTTTGTTGTCGTTATGCTTGGATTTCACATTTACAAACCATATTATTAGCTTTGTTGTCATTATGCTTGGATTTCACATTATACAACTGAAGCATTTACATCTTCAACTTTCCAATGAAAATTACATTTTACTCATTCACACTACTCAATTCCTCATCTTCTTCTTTTCTTTGTGTCCTGCTATGCACCACTGCCATCTCCTGGTCATTCCAGTACTGTTGTTTACATTTTTAGCCATTGGCTTTTAATAAACCCTGTTTGTATTATTGTACTGGATCAGACATTTATTCATTCATTAATTTTCAACCATTTAATCTTTTCCAGGTCGCAGGGACCAGCGAGAAGAGTCGGACATCCCAGGACCTTATACAGTGTATACCGTAGACAGGCAGTGGGTCTTTCTCATGTTTAAACCTACGGTCAGTACAAAGCACATTGTTGATCTTATCCCCAAAATGTATTTGTTTGGACTTTGGGAGAAGGAAATGTGGCTGGAGAAAACCCACACACAAGTTCAGGGAGTTCATGGAACTACTGGGAATCAAACTAACGAGACAGTGAACTTCATCCTCTGAGGCAAGAAAATATACATAAAACTAAGGGAAGTTTGGGGTGGTGGGCTTTGATTAGGCGGTAAGGATAGTTGTTTTTTACAAATCAAAGTAGAAATCAAGAGACAATGGACTTTTGGAAGAATGGAAATAACTGTGAAACTTCCAGAAGGAGAGTAGGCAAAAATGAAAGTAAAAAAACAGAGAGTTTGGTGTGGTGGGCTTCAGAGAACTCTATTAGGAGAGCGATAGTCTGGTTGGCTTAGTCACTTTGGAGCAACCCAGACAGTGGTGGACAAAGAAATGAGCAGAATGTAACTGCTGTGAAAACCCCTGAAAATAAAGTAGTAAGAAAAAAAAATATGCAGGGTGGAGTACAGTATATGTACTCAACACAACCTCATACTTACATATACTACTGTACATATAGTAATACTGTGTTTGTACATAACGAGTATAAAGTATGCCCTAATGGTATGATCTATAATCTATAATTGTGTCCTTAGACTAATGTCCAGAGGATGTAAACACAACAGAAGTGGACGTTGGACGTTGGACGTTGGTTCTGTGGTTCAGGTAGGACAGTATCATATCTGCTCTGTACGAGTGCCCATGTTTAATTAGCTGACTTTCTGCAGATCTCCATTCTGTAGCTGTGTTCATCTCAGGTCATGTTCGTCTGGATGAAAATCAAGATGATCATGAACTCATGGCCGTACGGCTGGAACATCAGGGTCTAGGTTTGGCAGCAGTCTTGCTGCTTAAAAAAAGTTTTGTTTTTTTTTAAACTCATACATTGTCAGTACACCTTTACCTTGTCATAGTGCAACCCTCGACACAGGGGTGACCACAGTGGCTTTTTATCTTTGATTCCACCTTTGAAACTGTCACAGATGTGGAAGAGTGTGTCTAAACTGCTGACACACACGAGATGCTTCAAATGAACAGAGGCTTGAAACACAGACAGATACAGGCATCTGTGTGTTCATGTTTTTTAGCATGAAACCCACAGTGAGAGGCCTGGCTGACAGTCTGCCAGCCTTCAGTCACCCAGGGCTTTGCAGATTAATGAATGACCCTAAGAGATGTTGACTTTACCCTGAGCTGCAGGGATGTTCAGAATCTCTGGCACACCATTTATAACAGTATGAAAACATCCCAGAGACCTTGGCTCTGTGTTGTTTTAGGCTGGACACACACTTCCTGAATCTTTGGTGCTGTGATGGAAGAAGGAAACTGTAGCTGCAGTTCACCATAACAGTGAGGAAAGATGAAGTGGTTGCCAAGCTTTGGTCTGTGTACTGCCGATGTTGTTGTTGTGAGTCTGCTTTTGCTCTTTTGTCTCTGTACGATCTTTGGCTCTGTGGCTCTGTGCTCCAACGCAAAGTGAGTCAGTGAGTGGTGACGCAAGCCTCGGTGGTGAGTTGGATGTTTGGGAATGCTAAGTGTAGTGAGAACGACGAGGCAGCAGCACCAGCTGTGGAAAAGTGAGGCCTCTTGGGCCATCACCCCTCTTCCTCTACCACAGACACTGACGTTTGTCCAAATGGCTTCACAAGAGCACTAGAAAAAGTCCGTTCTCATCAATACTTTGACTTTTCTCAGGACCAGACTCGGGAAATTGGGGGAAGATTTGGCAAATATAGAATGTGTAGACCAGTGTTTCCCAAACATTTGTTCTGGGGACCCATATTTTAAAAGTCACAAACTCACGACCCAAGTCAATAGATATTATTCGTAAACTAATGATGCGAGACTACCCAAAAAAAATAATTTCTTGCGACCCACCTGAGGGTCGCAACCCAGTCTTTGGGAAACAATGGTGTAGACCAATGGTCTATTTTATTTACATGTAGATAATATACTGGTATTAATTGTATTAATTGTTGAAACTTAAATGTAACAGAGGTGTTTTATTTGAATCAGTAGCAGAGAAAAGTGTCTGTTGTTATCACTGTCATACATGACTTGTCTTTTATGAGTTGTTTAAAAACAGCTGTGCTAATCCTGTGTATAACACAAAGGTATAAAACAGATTAAGTAACCAATGTGAATTCATCATCGCCTTTTCTTTTTCTTGCACGGAACTCACCTTACGTCTCAGGAAGTTGTGTGCAGAGCCGGGCTGATAGTGTATCTGAAGGAATGAGGTTATCAGTGAAGGTCTGAGGTCTTTGAGGTGACTGTCTTGTCTAAGGCAAAAACTTACTGCCTCGTCTAGATAACCTTTTTTATCTGCATCCAGCTCAAAATAGCCACATCAATAGATACCCAAATGAAAGGATCAGAGGCCTGGAGGACAGATAGGGCTGATAAGTGTGCAGTGATGCTTAATCTGTATTGTTTAGTAAAACTTTTAGAGAAGTGCTGACTGTTATCTTAGACCAGGAACTTCAATGAGCTGAGTGCCCCAGCTGCCAGTGTCACTGTACTGTGGGGCCGCATCAGTTATCAATGGTCAGTATATAAAAAAATACTATACTTCAGATGAGTACAATTAATGACTAAAGAAATGATTGAAATAAAATTAAATTTGAAGTGGGCCGTATCTGTGGGCCAGACGTGGGCCAGAGTTTGGGAACCATCTGAGACTTTTCAAAAATCAAAGAAAAGGAGGCTGAAATAACTTGGATTACGATATGTTGTTGCTAAGTTGTTGAGCTAGCCACTTGTCATTACTACATCATGGAATTCTGACCTTTAGCTTGACATTAAATTATTCCCAGCTTCCTCTTCTAGAAGATGTCTGGTCTGCATCCTATCACATTAACACCACGTAACCTTAAAGTCAACCTCTTTGTGCCGTTATTTATTTTCTTTACGATAGGGACCTTAAAACACTTGACATGACTCCGGGCCATTGCTTCACCAAAATAGCTTTAAAAATAACTTGGATCTCAGTCATGTAAACAATCATGCCCAATTTTCTCAGAACTACGTTGCTGATGTCTGGGAATGGTTGGGAAAGTTTCCCATGTGTGACTGTGTGTGTGTTTGCGTGTGAGTGTGAGAAAAGTTTGAGTATGTGCAAAAAAAAAAAAAAAAAAACCTACGACCGTGGGTTTGATGCTTGTCTTTGCCCCGACAATTTAAATAGTCTCTTATCGTTGTTGTTTTTTCACGCCACAACAATGGCACTTTATTTTCCACACTCAAATCAAGGTCACGGTGCTTGGGGCATAAAACTAATAATTCTCTCCACGCAGAAATGTTGATGTCAACAATGGGATGTTTGTGTGTCGTTACCCACATTGTCTGATTGTTGGTGTAGGAGAAAAGGTCAGGGGTTCGTGTCCTTTGGGATGAAACTAATGGTCTAATGTGATGTGTTCCACACATTCTTAACTGAGCCCCTATCATACACCATTTATCCCCAACACTCATCTTGGTACGGAGCCCCACCCCCACCCACTGCGTCCCTGAGGAGTTAAAGCAGAAGCCTGAGAAAGGCTGAACCCACTTTAGGAAAAAGTCCAGACTCCATTTTAAATGCCATCAGCAGAAATTTAGCTTTTAATCCTCAAAGTCATCCTTCCTGGTGCTGTGCTACAACAGGCATCTAACAACTGTTTGGTCTTTCTGCTACTACGAGCTCTTGTCTTAGATCCACAGCTCTAGTTTAAAGGAGATGTGGTTTCCACTTTAGTGCAAGTACTAAAGATTATAAAGATGATTTTATATCTTCCGTTCTCCAACACTAAAAACAATAAAAAAAAGAATGCGGACCTGGAAGCACAGAGTTTCCTGACTAGTGAGAGAATGTTGCACACTCACTTCCGTGCGATGACAGCATTCTCTAAAGCATTGTTTCCCAAAGACCGGGTCGCGACCCTCAGGTGGGTCGCAAGATTTTTTTTTTTGGGTCGTCCCACATCATGTTTACCAAAATTTCACGAATAATGTCTATTGAATTGGGTCGCGAAGGTTTGTGACCTTTAAAATGCAGGTCCTAGGAAAAACGAAACTCTAAGGAAATTAAAGTCAGAAAACTTGGAGGATGAATCTGTTGTGTTTTTGTATATATTTTTGTGTATATATTTTTTTACTATAAATGTGTCATTGTTTCATAACAAACATTTTCAAACAAACTAGCAAATGTTCAAAATGTCCCAGACTAGCAGTGTCAACACCAATGTGAAATCATTTGTCAGGCTAATGACAGGGCTCTGCACAATGTGTGCTCATTTCATGAGTTCATGAAAACCGTTGTGGGATGAGATGACCTCACTCTGAGGTCCCCGTACAAACACAATGAGAGCTTTTAGAGTGATGCACACTCGTGTACAGTCAAGGTCCAGAGGTGTTTTCCCAGCATGTGACTTGACGTTGTATAAAATGAGTGGTGTAATTTTAATTACCGTATGAATCTGAGTCAGTCACTGTCAGCCAAGAGCAGCTGAGAGAGTATCACGCTGCGGTGTGAGTGACATACGGACGTACAGATTTGATAAGAATCTGCAGAGTTGGTAAAAACTGCCGTGGTGACAGCTCAACCAGAAAGAACAAAAACAAGAAGAATATCAGTCAGGATCTTCCTAAAGCTCTCTGGCTCCAGAGCTGCTCAGGAAACAAAGACTAAACACACACACTTCACATCTCATTAGACTGGGCCGCTGTGACTGGCTGTGGGCCAAAGTCACGTAACTTTGCAGTATTTTATACCATGTAAAGAGTGACATTTGGTTAGATAATATTTAGTTTGATTTTACTTGAATTGAATGGAACATAAATAGCCCACACAAATATAACGCGAACGTTTTGAATGGAACATAAATAGCCCACACAAGTATAACGCAAACATGTCTTTCCTGTATGAAGACAGGAAGTCACATATTTGACATTGTCTTCCTGATCTGCTGCTAATCTTTTTAGCAGTTTTGGTCAAATATTCCAAAGTTTGACGGTTTGATTCCCGACTTGATGCTGCTCCACAAGTCTGAGAAATTAAAAAATGAGTTGCTCATCATTTCTACCCACGATTTGAGTTTCTCCCTTACTGACAGTAACAGGTCTGAATACGCGCAAAGGTGTTTATTAAGAGGAAAACTTGTGGTCAGATCTGTACCTGATCCGTACAGGGTATTGAATATGTCAATAGTCAAAAATATATAATCAAAAAATGTATAGGTCCTATAAATAAGTAAATATTGCACACACCAGATCCACAGCTAAACTGTGTAGTTAAAGTCATCATCATTCATAATTATAGTTAATTAAAAAATATGTCTTTACACTACATTTTACTACATTTAATTGAAAATAAAAATCGGGATTTTGACTTCACATGACTAGGCAGGAATTCTGTCACAAAACCAGTCATGATATCCCTTTAATCTAGCACAAAGACTGATAGTCGGTTTAGTAGTGAAGGTTAGTGCAGAGTTCTTCTGTTTCTCCCATATTTTAGTTTCCATGTCGCCACTAGAGCAAAGGAGGTGATGTGAGGCCTACAAAGGTCAGAGAGATGTTTTGATGTTCCCAACAGGAATGTACTCCATGACATTAGTGACAGAAAACAGAAACAAAAAAAAAAAATAAGCATGAAGTACATTCAGTCTGCTGTGGAAAAGACCATA